AATTGGCCATACTTGGAGTGTTTGAAGCCTTTTGCAGTGGTGCAGATGGAAAGCCTGGAACACTTGCCTTTCTAGAACATGTTGGCAACATGGACACCATGACTTTAACCATACTAGTATCACTGACATCTTCTTGCTGGACACAAGACATGTGTGAAACAAACACTTCTTCTATCTGCAATGTTTTTTTCCACAGAGAACATCTGTCCCAAACATTATTTTCATATCCATTCACTGATCTCACAGAAGCTAAACCTGGGACCCTGCTAATTTTGGGACATATAGGTAAAAGGTAGGCCATACTCAGCTCTCGTTTCAAAGCAGTTGGGAATCCAGGAATACTGGCAGACCTTGAGCATGATGGTGCTACGTTCACCATTTTTGTAATTCCTACACTACCCTCATAAATGGAACTAACATTATCTAAATACAGGAGTAAAGGCAATCTCTTGGTAGATACCTTCTGAAAAAGTAACCTCTTATCATCTGGCCAAGGTATAACTTGTGACTGATGTAAAGATGGCATGCCAGGAATCTTGGAATATTGTGAGCAACTTGATAGTAACTCAGTCATACTCACTGTTCCTTCAATCTGAGCTTTAGGCTGTAAAGTTGGTAATTGAGAAACAGAACTCCCTCCTGGACATAGTGGACCAAGATCCGCCTTAGATATGTACACACATTTTTCTTCTACATTGACTGCTGAGCTTGGTAACACAAGTTCCTGTGTAACTCTATCTTTTTCATAAAATGGCCTCTTATCCATAGAATAAGCCACATTTTCAGTTCTCCCTTCCTCCATACAATGCTCTGACTCCAAACCACACACACCACAGCTATTTGTTGAAGACAATGCAAAATTCACACTAGATTCTTCTCTTTGATTTGACAAATTCTTTGTTGTGGCCTGCTGTTCTGAGAGAAACCCAAAATGACAGTCCAATCTTGAAGTGACTTGGTCCGAGGTGGTTGTGTTGCATGTGATTTTCTTATCCAAAACAGGTATTGGAACAGTGGGGCTGATTTTTACAGTGTCTCTATGTGGCTTCTCCCTCTGTGAGTTTGTTGTAATGGGCCGCTCTCCAGTCTGAGCTTCTGGTGTTTTATTCATCACCCTTGGAGGAAAGGTAGAATTGGTGTCTCTGAGACAAGACGACACTGAAGCAGTCATGGTCTCATTTCTGAAGGAGTAGAGTACACCAAAGATTGATGTCAGGACAAAAAGACTGATGCACTTAAGAAAGCTGTTTAACGAAATCTACTGATTTACTTTTGCATTGCTAGTATTAACATTGATTAGAACTTAGATGCATTTTCAAGACTATAGAATGGGTAGGCATTAGCTGATCGAACACCATGCCAAACTTACCCCAAATCCATAGAAACGGCTTCTTTTTTGTGGGCCATTCCTATCCTTCCTATTGGTTTTGTGTCAGAGGCTGTAGCAATTTGAGGCAAGTGCAACAAAGGTCCTTGGAGTGATCTGGAAGTAGGTTGGGTGTCAGTAGGAGAATAGGGTATATGCTGAACAGGCTCTGGTTGAGTTATTGTATTCCCTAACTGAATGGACATCTTAGACAAGTGACTCGTTGGTTGGACCAGAAGCTCCTTGACTGGAGTGGTTGCATCATGAAAATCAGGGTTTTGTGTAGGCACAGTAGAATAGGGAGGAAGTATTGGCTGGACGTTGGGGAATGTCGTTGTTGGCCTTGATTCTGGCTGATCCATCTGTGTTTTTGGCATCTCAAAATATTTTAGCCCTGGGGCTAAGGGTGTTCTGGGGCTAAGGGCCAGAAGTGAGGCCATGCTCTCAGGTCTGAGGGATAAACAGACATTATGACGTAAGGAAAGTCTTCACCACAGTAATGCAGCAACATCCACGCCATTTTCACAAAATTCCACTGAACAGCATACAAGCGGGTGAGCAATGTGAGATGGAGCTACAAAAATTATATATGATAATAATACTACAGGAGATTCAAACCAGACGGTTACCAAACAAACAAACATTTTGTGATAAGTCATGGAAGGAATGACCAGGTCTTGGCAAGCAGCAGTATCCTTTTAAAATAATACAATAAAAGAACACTGCCAGATCTGGCACTTGCTAAATCAACATGACTTTGACTAAGATGCTTTTGTTTAAATTTCAACATGAAAAGAGTCCCTGTGAAAATCCCATATGTTAGGCAAAGGCTATTTCATGCACAGCCAAATAAGCAGTGTCATGTTTCTGCAGCCTTATAAGTAGCCACAAGACTATAAGCAGTGGAAGCTGCTCAACAGATGGCACCAAGGTCTTTCTTCACTTGATTGTCGGTGGACTTTGGAACCTGAATTACAAATACATTTCTACAACAGTTCCTCAATTCTGACTGGGAAAACCTTTTACTTTCTGCCACAGAGCTCTCAGTTTATACAGTAGAGTAATGTATTTAACCTAGAAGATTCCCAGAGGCCCTTTTAAGCCGAACAAATGTCCTTTTAAGCGGAACAAATGCCCTTTTAAGCCAAACAAATGGCAGGGATTTGATTGTGGGCTGAAGTATTGAAAGCCAAGGCTGCTAACCAGTTAATAGCAAATGCAAACCAAAACATGCTTCCTAATGTTGTTTACAAAGTGGCATGTAGCAGCAGTACAGGGTCTTAACCAAGTTTATCTCTAAAACATGTTCATGCCTTGATCTTATCAGATTTTACAAGTAGCACATTCAGAAACACAGCAACATAAGCATCCGTTTGAAGTCCTTGTTTTTGCTAAATGTCAAATGCAAGTCTGCTATTTCCAGTCCACTTAAAATGATATTTGGCTCCTCTTACCAGCCACATATCACCGTGTGAACTGAGGGTAGTTGTCCATGCTTATATAACTATATACAGTACATTCGGAAAGTCTTCAGACCCCTTCACTTGTTTCACATATGTTGCAGCCTGATGCTAAAATCATTTAAATGTATTTCCCTTCATCAGTCTACGCTCAGTATCCCATGATGACAAAGTGAAAACAGAATTTTTGAAACTGAAATATCACACTGACATAAGTATTCAGACACTTAAGCTCAGCTTCTTCCATTTCTCTTGATCATCTCTGAGACGTTTCTACACCTTGAATGGAGTCCAACTGTAATAAACTCAGACACACACCTGTCTACATAAGGTCTCACAGCTGACAATGCAGATCAGAGCTGAAACCATAAGGAGGAAGGAACTGCTGCAGACCTCAGAGACAGGATTGTGTTTAGGCTCAAAAACATTTCTGCTACATTGAAGGTTCCCAAGAAGAACAGTGGTCGCATCATTCTGACATGAGGAAGTCTGGAACAGCCATGACTCTTCTAGAGCTGGACCTGGACTAACTGAGACATCAGGGAAAAGGGTCTTGGTAAGAGAGGAGACCAACAACCTGATGGTCACTGTGGCTGAGCTCCAGAGATCCTGTATGGAGATGTGTTTCCTAGCAACCGCTTTCACAGTACAACCCCAAATTGCTCCTGATGGTCAGACCAGCACCTTGCACGGTAATTCACTGTGTGTGTTAGTCAGTGAGTGAATGAAAGGGAAACTGTGAAGCGTTTTGGAAAAAAGCTCTATATAGCCTTTTTAAATGCAGACATTTAACAGCACAAAGCTACATTTGTTTAGATGGAAAAAAATCTGTCACAAAAATAAGATTCTGTATCTGTCAACAAACTTTATAATAAGTCAATGCAGACCGTTTTACTTTGAATAAAATGACACCCTGTACATGTCCTTCAGGTGTCAAATGTAACAATGAACAAACCAAATAAACCAAATCTGCAATGATGACGAAATATCATATACACTGTGGACTTAATTTTTTGCCATGTATGATTACACAGCACAGCAGTTTTTCGCGGTAACTTATATGCAAAGGGGTTAATGTTTGATGAATATTTTCTTAGTAAAGGAAAAGTCTACCCCTGAAAAACCTAACACTGTTAAGTCTGTTTCCATTTTTGCATTTCCAAAAATATTTATGTGTTGTTCAGTGTATTTTTCTGTGTACAACAGATCAACACAGATCAGATCAGCTGTCACAGGCGAGACAAATAAAAATCTTAATGCTCAGAAAAAAAGTCTTCAACTTTGGCTGAGTGAAAGTTCACACATGAGTGTCAGTGATCACACCTGGTGAAATATAGCAACATGTTTTTTTTTTTTGACCGAAACCAAGACTGCAACAGTCACAAAACAGCTCAAGCGGCCAGAGGTGGATTGGCCTACATCTGTCTGCACAGATTTTTGTCACCGTGACAGCATCACAACTGAGAACGATACAGTTATGAAACTTTACAGGTGTGTAGTCAAGATCAAATAGAGTTTGAAGATGGGTGTCCGACCCTACATAATGATGGGTCAGAACGTCAACACTGATGGGCATCATGGATTACCTGGATTACCTATCCTATTACCTATCCATTGTAGTGCAGATAATATCCAGATAATGGCCAGATAATACCTATGAATGTCTCAGGTGAGCTACCCAGTGTCTACTGGATGTTCTGAGACCTTGACTTAAAATAAAGAGAAGCATTAACAAGCATTTGCTGTCTTTGAAATAGTTTATCTATTTCTAATATAGTCTGCAATTCAACTAACATTCTACTCAAGACGGACTGTTCAGCGCAACACTTTCCTTAACTGATCATTTTGTCATCTGTTGAACTTGTGTCTGTTTTGTTCATTCTGTTTTGGTGTTCTTGTTTGTCACTGTCCTACCTGGTTTTGTGATGGACTGTTATTTTTGCTTTGAAAAGTGTTGCATAAATAAATTTTAACTTCAACAAAACAGTGCTAAATCAATCTTATTATTAACTTTTCCAAGTCCTATCAAATTTTCTTAATCAGTGGTAGACCCCACATCTGCAGTGACAGTGTTGGAGGATCTGAGGTGAATGATTCCTTTACAGCCATGCCAACCACACCAAACACTTCAAAACACCAAACGCATCAAAAGGCCGTCTTTTATATTCACTTACCCTGCTGATGTCTTGACGACCTTGATTCCAAAGTGCACGTCTCTTTTCTGTTCTGAAGCTCTGGACGGATCTGGCCTCCAGCCAGTAGAGGTATCAGCATCAGGGCCTGAACAACATAATATAAAGTTAAACATGGAGTCATTGCATATAGGTATCACTAATCCTAATTCACTTCATGTTGTGTTCATGCTCACTTGTAGGTGTTGTATTCTGGTTATCCTCTTCACTCAGTGTGCTCAACTGTCTTTTGAATTCTGAAAGGAAAGAAAAACACAAACAACATTTTTTACGTAATAACCTGAAAGTTTATGTTCATGTGCCTCCACGCCAGCACAGCATGAACAGTGTGGAATCAAGTGTTTAGCTGCTTAACTGAAAACAACCAGCAGGGGGAGACATGTTTCATAGTGGATGGATGTGGTCACTGATTTTAATGCTAAATGTAATCACACACTTCCTTTTTTATTTTGTACCTGTGTCTTGGTCACCGGGGGAGGCTACAGCAGTTTGGGCTATATGAGGCTGGGGAGGAAGAGGAAGAGGAGGTCCGGAGAGAACAAGAGCAGAGGAAGGTGAGGGGTGTACTGGAGGGGTGACCTGGGGTTTCCAGGAAGGAACAAATCCAGACTCTCCTTGAGGTTTCTGTTCTAATGACTGATCAACGGGCAGAGCGGATGAAGCTGACAGGGAGGAAAGGGAGGCAGAGGAATGATGGGAGGGAGGGCAAGACAGGGCAGTAGACAGGGAATGGAGGGAGGGAAATCAGTAACCCAAACTTTGAGTGTGCTTTACAGATTCACATAAGATAGGAGACAGGAATTGAGAAGCCTTCAGACACGCATCACATTTATATAAAGGTTGCTGCAGCATCAGCTTAAATACACAGAGAGAGGGAAAAGTAAATCAATTTAACAAACCCCACAACACTGTCAATGAGCCAATTAACATTATATAGTTTTCTCCTTTCCGATATGTAATATTGCTAGTTTCATCTATCTGTTTAAAGTTTGTGTGATTCAGACATAGAAGAGGCGCTATGCTCGTCCCCACTTCTCACAATGAATCAATAATAAATTCTCATCACTTCTATCATTTATTAGACAAAGAATTCTGCTCCCATACAGAAATGTAATATATGACATACATGTCCCTATATCAAGAGTGATGTTGCCATATATGTCACCTATAAGGGGACACATTATTATCACATATATACATCCTCTGGATATATGAAGATATACGTGTATAACATATGAAATACCTGCTGTAAAATGTATATATGTACTTATATTAAAGATATGCAGATATATTTCTATATGGTATAACATATCATGAACATACTGTACATGTTGAATGATCTATATTCAATTTATATATGCAAGTTTATTAAAACAACATATATTTAAAAATTCTATATGCTCTTGAATGTTCTCTGATTTTTTTGTTAATTTCTCATTATTGCAGTACATGTCAATATATAAAATTGTTCCAATTTCTAAGAGATTACATAAATAATAATTTCATATATGTTTTTATTTTGTATGTACCTTTATTTCATATATGCAAATGCAATATGTGTACATATATTACATTTGCATATGAGATGTCTGTTCTATAATATCAAACCTAGAAAGATAAGACTTTAAGTTGAAACTCTTGTTTGCTCACACGCTAAAGGAGACCACGCTAAAGTATTGCTGGGTATTCATGATTTCATCCATACAATTAGACATTCAATGAAAATACTAAGTGAGGGGACAGCTGGTCTGATTAATACAGTGGTTGTTCGAGTGAGGTGAATGTCTGAATGAGGACATGAAAGTTGTCAAGAGAATGGTCTCAGGTCAGATCAATCTACATATATGTATAAATATACTGCACATTTGGGCACTGTCGGAAAAATAGGCCCTGGAATTCCATATGCTCTCCACTAAGCTAAATGCTGAATTATTAAGGATGAACCAAAGCTACATGTTAGTTAAATGTTAGAGCAGAAGAAGAGGCACTGGGTTTAGATAAGAATAGAGAGGGTCAGGCCCAGGCTGATCAACAAAGAAGGATGTTAGGGTTGAGCTGGGTTAAAGGTAGGGCGGTATTACATGGCATCTCTATTCTCTGCTTTTTCTGCAGCACTGCAGGCTGTCCATGATCACTGGCAGAGAGGCGCAGAAACTTAGGAGAGAGGGTTGTCTGTGCTAGAGGGGCCTGAGATTTCGGAGGCCTCCATTCGCTCTGCCAGGAAGCTGGAAAAAAGAGGAGAAGGAAAAGAACATGGGAGGACAGAGGGAAAACAAGTACAGGCAAAGTAACAGGTTTGTGAAAGGGAAAAGTGTGAACTAGCCTGGCCTACGCTGTTTCTCTGTCCCTGTACCTGTCTCAGGGGCCGATGGCAGACTGGTGGGTCTGGTGAGAGCTGAGCCTGGCTCCCCCACAGAGGTGGGTCGAGTCTTAGGCTGTCTGGGAGCAGGAGGTGGTGGAGGTATAGTAGGAAAGGAGCTGAGAGGAGCTGATGAGGAGGAGGGGACAGAAGAAAAGGAAGGAACGCTCTGTGCTCTCCAGACACTCGGACATGCTGAGAGGGGAAGATGGGAACAGTGACAGAGAAGAACTAGAATTACGGCTTTGCGGTTGTATCCCTCCGCCAAACAGTTAAGTTGTAGTTTATATCCATGTCTGTCCAGACTCATATCATATATGTAGTGAAGACTCTGAAGGAATAAGGTATAAAGTGTATTTTGTCATAATTAGTGTACTTGATTATGGACAAAAAATATGTTTTGTGAGGTCACAGTGACCTTGACCTTTGATCTATAATCATCAAATTGTAATCAGTTCATCCTTGAGTCCAATTGAACATTTGTGCCAAATTCCCTTAAGGTGTTTCTGAGATATGGTGTTCATGAGAATGGGACAGACAGACAGACAACCTGATAACATTATGGCTCCAGTCAGGGGCATTAAAGGAGGGTATTAATGAAAAATGCAGAAGAAAAGCATACTAATGCTAACTAACTAACATAAATACTGCAACAAATACTTAAAGACATTTTTCATATTGTCTTTTCAGACTTTTCAGACAGTTAGCTAACTCACTCTGCGGTTGTCAAGTTAGCAGTTAGCTTGTGCCAGACAAACAACTGGCAGACAGTGAACAGAACTGAGAATCTCCCAGTTAAACTTTTACGCACATAATACTCTTTTAAGCTTGTTACAGTAAAAGCTCTGACTTGAGACCTACAGGATTCAGGGCTGCTTGGCAGTTCCCTTTCTCAGCCTGTGAAGCTAACGTTAGCTCAAGCAGCTAAAGAGCAGAGCTATCAACAGTATCGTAAGGAATCATGGTAGTGTCAGATGACTTTTGGACAACTGCTACTACTAACTAATGATAATACTGATACTAAAGGAAAGCTAAATTGCAAAAAGTTTAGCTAATTCTCAATGGAAACTAGCTGATTTAGCTAGAAAAAGTCTGGTTTGAAAAAAGAAGGTGTGAAAATGTTTGTGTTAATGATTAGTAAAAACACATCTTGTTTATTTTAGAGGAAGCAATCATAATTTAAATTGCAATCGTAATATTTAAAAAAAAAAATCTATAACTTCGATTATAAAATAACTACTATGTAGACCAGAGGCAAAGTACCCATGCAAAACTCAACGCTAAGTGTTTACTTGTGGTATTCACAATCCAAAGACTGGGATAAAACATATGTACTATATTTTGGATCTTCAGCTATTTAAACTACTCAGTACCTGTTTGTGAAGTATCAGAGAAAGTGGGAGAATGGAGAGATTGATCAAAGGGTGAAGGGGAGAGAGTTGAGGTGGAAAGGGCTTCAGGAGGGGTGAAGGTAGGGAAGACCAGGGCCTCCAAGGCCTCAGCTTGATGGGAGTCACAATGGAAGCTATGGGGCCTTCGAGGAGCTGACATGGCCACTAAAAAGACAGCAGGGGTATATTCAGGAAGTGGCACAAAGAGAAGAAAAAAGGGGAGAAGTGGGAAGATAAATTAAAAAGACGGGAAAATGGTGAGTGAAACTAGACAGATAGACAGATATAAATACATTGGTTTGGCAAAATTCTCCATCTCACCCTACTTTTAAGAAATGTAACGTACATAAAATAGATAAATGTGGTATTACTTTATTAACTTTCTAAAAAAAAAATGTCATTTTGGAGAAATATTTTGCTCCGAAGGAATAGTAATAATTGTTTTCTTTCCAACAGTGAGATGAAAAGATTGATACCACTTGTGTCTGTTTGTTAAGTACGAAGCTGGAGTTGGGACATGGTTAACCTAGCTCAGTATAATGACTGGAAGCAGGGGGAAACAGCTAGCTTGGCTCTGTTAAAAGTTCAAACGCAGACATGAGATTACTAGAGACTGATGGGCTCACTCCAAACACCCCTCAACATGTTGACGTTCAGACCCATGAGTACTTAGTCATCATTACTATATTATTACTACATTATTACATGAGTCTTCATGGGTTGGACCAAACCCATCTTCCAACTCAGTCTTTACTTTGATCTCAACTACACATTCCAAGTTCCATGACTGTATGTTGCATGTTGTGACAAAAATGTGTCAATGGACTGATAACATATACCTGCCAAAGTACTGAGGTAGTTCCTGCTACAGTAGGTGTCTCCAGGGTCACATTTTGCCATGATGACACACACACACACACTCACAAGGTGAAGACAGTACCAGCTACACTGTCACGGCTGGGAAATATCAATCTGAAAATCTCACTCTCAGAAAGAAATCAAACAATTATATTTACAAAATGTTGAACTATTCCCCAAAAACAAATTTTTAGAATTCAGGATATTTACTCAAAATATTGGCCACATTTCATTTGAAAAACTGCAACTGCTCTGCACTCATATGGTTATTTCAGTATGATGCACAATTCCCTCACCACCAACCAACCTGCTGCTCTCAGTTTCTCACCTGCTCTCACCTGCTGTCATTTCAAATTAAATAAAATTCCAATAAATGCCTAGGGGTTATGCCCTTTGAGACACTGAAAGGCTTTTAATGTGAAAAATCTGCACAGAAAATGTTGAGTTATTGATGATCTCTTATCAGCAAACAAAAGCGGCACATTGAAACCAATAAAAATAATAGGTAAATGTAAAAAGTATTTATAATATAATATGGTAAAATATACTCAAATATACTTATAAATATATTTATTCTATAATATAAGCAAGGCATCTCTAATATGAGCCTGTTTCAAATAAAGGTCTAGTTCTCTGCAGTTGAAGTAAATAAAGGCCACACCAAAAGATTTTTGCATTTACTCCATCTACTACAAAGTATTAATTAAAGCCCATTGTGTTTAAAGTTGAGGAAGTTTTATTAATTGTCAAATCAATGCAATCCTTAAATCTTTGTTACAACTCAAGAATTTATATTCAAACTAAACTACATTTGATCTTCAACAACACACTTCAGAGTTGTGTTTCAAAACATCAATATGTGGACCTGGAACTGGAGCAACAGGATGCTTGGAATGAAAAAATCTCATATTCATGGTAACCATACAGAGTGGTGTGAAATAATCTGAGCCAAAAGAGACAAGAGACCACACAGGATGAGGAATATCTGTTCACCTGATCCGGTACTGGGCTGGAAAATTTTGGGAAGTGCAGGAGGGTGAGCACGTGTAAAGGCCGGTAATGAGTAGGCATAGGCAGAAGGCCGAGCCTGCTGGTTAGTGCTTGGTGGTCGTGTGTGGGTTCGCAATAAAGAGGATGGAACAGAGGGGTCTGGGGGTTCAGGCAGAGGAGGACGAAATGGGGCCGAGATGGTGGAGGAAATACCAGAGGACGTTTTCAAATCCATCTCTGAGGTTACTGAGTGGAAGATAAGAGATGAGACGGATGGTGACCAGGTGAAGTGAAAGAGTGGACAGTGATAATCAGATTAGTGTTTAAAACAATGAAACTACAGACACAAAAAACCTTCAAATTCTGCTGTTTTCATGTAAAACTACACTAGGTTACTTTGGTGAATATGAATGACATGTATGAATTACATATGTCAACACAGTAAGTGCTTTAGATGGAAAACTGTGACTGATCACGACCAATCAGGGAGGAGGATGGGTAAACTAGGAAACAGAAAGATACCTGCGGGGCCTGACTCAACTGCAGGCCTCCAGGCCAGATCATGTATTCTTGCAGTGGGAGGAGCAGAAGCTGTTATAGGAAGAGAAAGAGAACAGCAGACAGAGAGATTAAAAGAAAAGGGAAGTGAGATTTCAATAGGAAACAAAAGAGGAAGCAGAAGTTTTAGAAATAAAACTGGTCACAGAGAAATAAAAAGGTGAGAAGGGACATCCTCGCCTCAGTCCTCACAGCTGATACAGAGCTGAGGCAGCAGGGACGAAAGACCTGACCCACCTGGCAGGGCTTTGGATCGCGTTATCCTGATTTAATTAATGTTCTAAATCTGGGGCAGAACTCTTTATTTAGAGCAGATTTCTTTAGAGACATGTGCAGGTTAATGCTGCTGTTTGTGTGCTAGTGGTTGTCTCTGTGAGATGTTGAAATTAGACTGGAAACATATTAACACAGACATTACATCACACTATTTAGGCAACATTTACAAATACAGATTTCAGTAACAAAAAAAATTGGCAGTTCAGCAAGGCAAGATATAACTATATACATATCATGGCTGCAATCTTGGCCAGGTCTCTCTTGTACAAGAGATTTATATTTCAATGGGACTTCCTGGTAAAATAAAGGAAGTAATAATGTAAAAAATAGTAATATAATAGTAACTATATAAATATATTTTTGGTCTTCATATACTCACAGCATACCTCCCTCTTACGTAACCTAAAATTATAATTACAAATTACAAAACGTAAAATTATTAAATGATCTATTATTAAATTATGGTTAATAATTAAATTAAATTGAATTTACTTATTTATTTAATTTAATCTATTTTAATTCAATGATTATTAAATGTAATTATCATTAAATTAATTTTTTTATTATCTAAAATATGGTAACTTTATTAAGCATAGCATAAACTTAAATAATAAACTAGATTTTAACTTGACGCTTCTCAACACAACAGATCCTCTGTGTCACCTCAGACCCCATCAGTTCAGTTTATAGTTTTAGTGTTAGACCACCAAACTAATATGCAGTTAATTAAATGACCATATACTGACTCCACAGTTCAACACAGTGAACCTGGAATTTGAACTGTACATTCAAACTGAAAGCAGCGAGAACATCCAAGTCTTTTGTTCCCAAGCACAAAGGAGGAGAAACTGATGAATGCAGTGGCGGGTATCATCCTTTACGACGTGTCCCTGTTTGTCTACAGGGACTTAAATAAACAAACGACGTCTGACACTGCAGGTGTTCCAGGTGAGTCGGTCATGTGTAGACTATAATGCATTTTGTGAAAATAGGAGGGAATCACATGCTAACTAGCGCCATAGCATGCAAAACAGTGCTGCTTGACAACTTGAACGTTAATATTGCTAAGATTTCATGTGGTTAACTTATACGCTACTTGTGGTCAGTTGGCACAAAGATTTTGGTTGACATCTACTTGATTTGTGGGCCGTTTAAAAACAGTTTGCAGACGGATCAAACTTGCTAGCTGTCTGTTTCATCCAAGTCAGAGTGCCCACAAACCTCAACAGCCAGAGAAAATCTTGGTGCCCAGACCCTCTAACTGAGGCCCATTTTGCCCACTGAATATGTGATACCTGTAAACCACAAGACTGCAGTAAAATCCCACCAGTCATTGCTTAAGTAAAACTGAAAGACGGTCATTCAAGCTCTGCTGGTCTTACCAGTAACATGAGCAGCATGTCCAGTTCCAAAGCTGGCCCGTCTCTCCTCTCCAACTTCATCATCACTGTCATTAAAATCATCCAGATTGCCAATGTCGCTCTGCTTCATGCTCATTAGACTGGCCAAACTCTGCATGTCCTCGTCTCTGTGGAGAGTAGAAGAAGAATCCAAAAACATCAGGATTCATCTTCAGAACCTGTACTGGGCTTCAGCTCCCGTTCAGAGATAAAACTACACAGCTTTGATGAATCACTGTTTTCAGTAAATGTTATTGATCTGCTGCTGAGCTGATGACTTACGTGGCCTTCCCTTCTTTGAGAAACACACAGGACAGGGTGAGTTTGAGCGTGGCTTCCACCACTTTGACAGACAGTGGTTTGAGCTTCAGTGTTACGTCATACTGGGCCGGCGTGGCACTGGCGTACTTCTTCATGTTGACATCAACTGATGCCAGCACCTTCCTACGGCCTTTTGTCTCCTGATAAACAAATCAAATGGACAGACTTCAAGTCTGAACACAGACAAACTCCTTCTGTCTGAGGATACATTCTCCATCTGAGTCTTCCAATTAAAACTGAACTATAATATTATATGAAACCACAAACAGGGATAACACAGACAGAGCAGACTCACATTTTCAATGACAAAGGTCCAGTCTTTGTCTTCAAACTCCTCTGCAGTTGCTTCCTGTTGAAGAACAAATGACCATCCAGATTAATCACTGAGCTATTTTCCATCTGTCATCAAAATAATGTATCAGCCACAACTTAACTTCATACCTTGAAGAGTGTGACAGTGATGTCTAAACTCTCTGGAACCTGCCAAACCACCAGGCCTCTGTAGGGGTTCTTGATCCCTGGCTGCCAACTGTGGAGCTGACAGAGGATAAACAAAGGATTCAGTCTCAACAGTTTTGCAATGGACTGTCTTTAAGTCTCTGCAGAGCATTCTTTGAATACAAAGTTTTTCCTTTTGAACCCCATTAAATCCAGAACGTATTTCATAGAATTTTATTTCTACCCCTAAAGCCATGTAGAGGCCATTTTGAATGTTGAGTCTTCTATCTCTCTTACCTTTGTGCTGTGACGTCTGCTCCTCCTGATCCACACCACTCTCAGTTTGTCTGGTTGCCTGAAATCACAGCAGAGCACAAATAACATCAGTGTTTCTATCTTTCATCACTACACCTACTGTACTGATTCTGGTGCTGTCTGCCACTGTGTCCTACATCATAAAGACTCTTCAGAGCAGGAATATTGAGGTGTTGACATTTCTGAGTCAGTTATTTTGAACACTCACTAAAGCTGAGTGTAGATATCAGTGTACTTGAACGCTACTTTTTCATTGCAATGTGGCCATTTCTGGTGGCACTACAACGTGTATAAATTTCACACTGAGAATTTGGACTCTCAAATAAAAGAGCAAAAAGTAAATATACAGTGAGTGAATTTGGATGCATCCTGGTAGTCCATTCTAAAAACATCTCTGATCTACTCGTACACTATGAAGCCCTCAGACCCCTCAGGTCACCTGGGACAGGTTTACTTAAGGGTTTTACTCAGTTTACTCAGTCTGTGGTGTGTGTGTGTGTGTGTGTGTGTGTGTGTGTGTGTGTGTGTGTGTGTGTGTGTGTGTGTGTGTGTGTGTGTGTGTGTGTGTTTTAACCACTGAGGAGGGTGGTTAATTCTGAGGGAAACTTTGGGTTGTGCCTGATGCAGATAAAACCCACAGTGAGGTTGCACCAGTATGGAAAATTTTTTGGGGTTGCTCAAATAGGCTGACCCTCGTATCATCAAAACCTGTACTGCATTTGTGTCTGTCAGAAAAAGAGGTTAGGTAGAGCCTCAGAGCCGAGAGTGAAGAGAAAGTTTTCAATTTCATGCAATCTTAACATGTCCTTTTTAAAGGTCCATATAGTCTAAAGGCAGATGTCCATGTGTTGTTTGATTACAAAGCAGGTCTGATTCTATATTAATACTGTGAAAGTATCAAAGCCTCAGTCCACAGAGAAATGCACACAGCCTGTATTCAGAAACTGAGCCTTAAAACCAGCCGTCAGGACTTCAGGAACTTTGTGATGTCACAACAAAGCAGTCGCCGCCGTCAGTCATGCCCCAAGCCACCTGGACCCACCATCCAACCTTGCAGGATTTGGTTTCTCTGAGTGTTTACCTGAAATCTGCTAGATTTTTACTGGATCACTCAGAAAACAGTCAGCCAATCAGAAGAGAGGCTAAGAGCCTCATCTCTTCTGATTGGCTCACTGAGCTGTTGTCCAGAGCTCTTGAGAGAAGCCTGAGAGAGGAGATGTAAAACTACATTGAGATGGTTTTTGGTTCTTAAAATGACAAATATTCTTCTTATGGATCAACACTTCAAATAAAACACAGGAGAAGTATAAAGTATCGGACCTTTAAATGTTTATTATTTATTCAAATTTGTTTTTATTGTTTTTCAATGCAATTTTAATGTCATCTTTATTTGTAATGTATTTCCATGCCTCTGTAAAGCACTTTGAATTACCTTGTGTCTAAATGGTGCTGTGTGAATAAACTTGCCTTGCCTGTAGTCTACAGCCAGCAGGTCTGTCTGGCTGTATATTAGGCAAATAATTGTTCAGAGCTAAATGCTAACATTAGTATGCAAACATGCTCAAAGTGACAAAGTTAACATCATTTAGAAACTCATGTTTAATGTGGTCACTATCTCAGTTTAGTGGACTAGTACAGTAACATTTACTGAATAGCAGCTAAGGTGAGTGGAACTGCCATTAAAGTTGCAGGTATTTGAACAGAAGTCAAAATACTACGCTAGTTAAAATTCTCATCTGATGGAGCACTAGAAAATTCAGGAGATCACCAAAGTTATTCCAATTCATCCTGTGGAAAACACAAAGGTCTGGACCAAATCAAGGCAATCAATCCAATAATTTGTCATGACTTTGGACCAAAATCACAACTGTAAACCTCATGGTGGAACCAAAGGAAACATCAGGGGATCACAGTTGTTAGTAGGATTATTCATATGGGGACCATAAACATCTGCACAAAATTTCACAGTATTCCATATAACAGTTGCTAAGATATTTCAGTTGGCACTAAAGTGGTGAACTGAGCCATACCGTGGCTAGAATACACTACTAATCATGTACGTACTTATTTTCTTTTATTATGTGTCCTCTTGCTGTTGTTTTATGGCTGCATCGACCCGCTGTCACCACGGCAATAAGTTAATTATCATCTAATTTCATTTCAGTCTGATGACAGGGTCAGAGGAAGAGCAGGGACCCAGGACATGATGGTTTGTAAAAGACAATCGACAGAGCACAGACACACACACTCATCTGTGTGCTGACAACACACTGAGGGGAGGAGCTTGGGACGAGAAAATGAAAACCTTGTGACACTGATAGAAAGTGTGACTCCTGAGGATAAACATCTCCGCTTGGATGTGTGTGTGTGTGTGTGTGAGAGAGAGAGAGAGAGAGAGAGAGAGAGAGAGAGAGAGAGAGTATCAAGATACTGAAAACACTGCAAATACATATACGTATTTTGAGTAGTGAGAGACTTCCTGTTCTCTTTCCAAAAACTATTCCTCCTGCATATGGAGTTTGCTCACCATCAGAAGAGGCAAACTAGGGAAATGGGGCCTCTGCTGCTTGTGAGGCATTTAGGGGACATCTGTAAATTTTAGGGTCTGCCAATAGTCTGCATGTGTGTGGGTGGATGTAGGACACCCCATCCATCACTTTGAATCCAGAGATTTGACTCAGACTTTTTAGCAGCTTGTTGTGTGCACACTATACACTGTATACACTAATACTTTATACACTTACACTGTACACACTAACACTGTATACACTGAGGCTGTACACACTTACACTGTACACACTAACACTGTATACACTGAGGCTATGAGCTACTGTGTATAAATCACAGACAATGTAAAGATTATTAGTATATAAAATATGACCACGGAACCCATTATCTGTGATTTGTGTGGTCGGTAAAAGGAGTTGAAACAGTATTAAAACAGTATATCTGTATTTATCATAGGTCACCATGAAAGTTCTTGAACTTGGAACACTTGTCGTGGGGTTATCAGTGGCGATCCTAGACTCTGGGGGCCCCCAGGCAAAGAGCCCCATCCAAGCCCATCAAAGAAACATCCACATCCACCCGCCCGAATGCAGACACTTGGCAGACCATAAAATTTACAGACATCTCCTAAATGCCTCACATGCAGACTATCAGTAGATGATACAATTTACAGATGCCCCCTAAACGCCTCACAAACAGACTCAGTAGCTGCTACAATTTACAGATGTCCTCTAAACGCCTCAAATGCAGAATATTTGCAGATGCTACAATGTACACGTTCCCTGAATGTCTCACATGCTACATGCTAGCTACAGCACACATCATCAGGGGCCCGTTTAGGGATGTTTTGGGGCAGCATCAGTGCACTGCACTAGTGTCTTTATGGGAGGTTTAAGGGGGTTTATAGTTGTCATTCCAAAATGTGCCTATATGAGGGGCCATCAGAGGCCCCTTTTCCTCTTCAGGGCCCCAAACATTTACCTGGTTTGCCTCTCCTGATGGTGTGCCTCTGTGAGTGATGGCAACTGAGCAAACTCCATATGCAGGAGGAATACCATGAGATACTGTTGAAAGTTTTCTTTGGTAGATTGTTTAACAGCTTGGCTCTTATTTGCGTGGTTTTGGTTGGTGAAGACAAGAAGTTGTGACTAGTGTAAGTTCATCATTAGAACAAGGGAACATGACAACACTGCTAAAAGCCCTACACACTGTGCAATAACAAACTCACTATATGTCATACTGTTTCAGATGGGTGGAGTGAACATGGTATTAGCAGCAAAGGGGTCTGGAATTACAGTTAAATAGATAATGCATAGAGAAGCAAGCCGCATGGGTTCAATAAAATCGTCACACTCTGTGTCAGACTCGGTATCACTTGGCAGATGTGTGGGCAGATTTTCACCCTGTTTTCACACCTGAATCTGGTTGGACGGTGACAGCAAGAGGCTGTAGAAAATAATTGTAAACATTATGTGTACATTTGTATACATAACACAACAGGGTTATGTATACAAACCCACCTGGGTCACTGAAGATCTTGAAGATCTACTCTCCATGTCTGCATGTGGTTTTTCACTATTTCAGCTTTTCTCTTGCTCTTTTAATGACCTCATTCTCATGACCTCAGTTTAATGTCACCGACTGGAGGATGAGAGCTGTCAGCTGTTTATCTTGAAGAACCATCTCCTAATATTCAGTGCAGTGGATGCAAACACAGATTAATTCACATTTTCTTTTTCAGGTATTATTAAACTTCTGAGAACATGTATTCATTTGGATGGAAGCTTGACTGGTGACAGCAGACTTTTCACCCAGCTTGACTTCAGCAAAGCCTGACTATAAATACTCTTGTGTCAGTCATGCTCAGGCCTTTACCCAATGACTGCTGTCAAAATCCAGCACAGTTTAAAGACATTTCAGGTTCTTGTTTCTTTCAGTTTCACCTCAAATGAAACTGGTTTGGATCATGTTTACATCAAGTACAAGTCTGAAAATTAAAAGCCACATTATAATAAACCAGAGTTATCCTTACACATCTACTTCTAGCATTGGTTCAATCCCAAACGTATTGAATGAGTATTGTCTTATTGGCCTGCTGGTCAAACTGTAGTGACAACAGAGTCTGGGCTGGAGAGAACAGAGAGAGTGAGAGACAGAACAGAAATAGACGCCTGTCACGCTGAACTTCACAGAGGCTTAATAGCAATCCTCCACCTGCTGCACTATTTATCACAGACGTGTTTTAGTGTTGTTGCAACAGGCTGACCTACAAGTGTACTACAGTGTTTTTTGCTCCTGTGGTCTGCAGATTAGTGGTTTGCTGAGAACAGGAGAGAGTAAATGTCACACACAGGTAACACACTTCACATCAGGCCTGGTGCCTGTAAATGACTCAAGTGTTTGTTTTCATCAGTAGGAGGTGTTTGAGGGAGTTTTCCCAGACGGCCTCCACTCTCTTGATTCTCCTCTAGTCTCAACGGAAGCGCTTTTTGCTAATCAGTTCAGGGAGACCGCCCGTCCAGCTGATCCACATTTTACACATTCTTTTCATAGGCTGTTGAAAACACAAGTGCACTGTTTGTGATGCCATACGTCACCAGTGAGAGTTATTTCCCGCGAACCCCTGACAAACCCATGCTTCTTTTTAGGACTGTAGGACTCCAGGAAGTGACTGCACATGGGTGTTGTCCACCAATAAATAGTAATAAAAGTTCAGTTTGCTTCATCAGAACTGTCAGATAGCTTCAGAAACACGCTCTCTGCAGCTTTCCAACATCAGATTGTTTGGAGGTGAGAAAGTACACTGGGTTTGAACTACTCTTTTTTTCTTTTGTTACACATCTATTTATGGCTCTTTTCATGTGAACAACCAAGTGCAGCACTATTAACATCTTTCTAAAGAGACCGTCTGAATATGTCCGCCTTTATCCTCATTTTTAAGAAAAGGTTCCATCTCCCTGCTCCCTATGACCAGACACTCTTGAGGGTGCCCATTCGGATCTTGTATAAATCAAGCAGCAACAGCCAGAGATGAAAGATGAAGCCAACACTGAAGAACCAAAAACTGCAGTTCCTCCAATGACCACGGGAGCCTGGCTCCAACAGTGAGTCAATTTGTTAGTTTGTGCCTTTAAGTAAAATTTATGAGCTGCTCAGTCATTGCTAAATACTGAGCCAGAGTGTTTACTTACTACATACATACAGTATATGAGCGCATTCAGACCCCTTCATTTTCTTGACTGTGCAGTCAGGTGTAGAAACATCTTAAAGATGATCAAGAGAAATTTGCTAAATTAGTAAATTAGTATATATACTAAGAGGGTAATGAGGTAATGAGTAACAGGTGTGCAGGTGGGCGGGGAGGTCAGGTTATGCAGGTGGCAGGATCACTGAGGTACCTGTGAGGTAAGTGGGTCTGCAGCCAACAGGAGATGTTGATTAAAGGCAAAAAGAACAAGAGGCAGATCAGAGAGGAGGGAAAAAAGAACCTGACAGACCTGGAAGGTGGGATGAGTCCTCGTGATCATGGAAAGTCGAACTGCACATGGATTGATAACCCTCGAGATGGGGAACGGGCCAGTGAAAGGGGGAGCAAGTTTGCGGGATTCCCGGGTGGATAGCCAGACCTTTGTCCACAGCGTCCACTGGAAGCAGGGGTCCGCCAAGGATCACCGTTCTCTTGTAGCATACAAGTTATGACGGAGGAATTTGATGGAATTCAATTTGACTAATTGGATTTTTTTTTACCTCTTTTCTTGACTTTGTGAGTCATAATTTTGACTTGACAATGAGTATTTTAATTGTCATTGTTCATATTTAATTTGTTTTTTTTTTTCTTTTCCTGGTGGAAACTGACAAGAAAGCCAGAAAACAAGTCTCTTAGGATCCGCCAAGAAAACGCAAGAAATGCTTAAAACCACCTTAAGAAACCACACTTAAGACCTTCAGCTCAGAGATCCCTCTAGAAAAATAAACAACCACCCTCACTTCACCATACATATTATCATTTACTGTTGTCTACGTGTGGATCATAACTGTAGTACAGAACAGGCAAAGGGTATCAGTTCTTACACCCTGTGGTTAAACACACACGACGGGACCAGGAGCAGAAACATGCTGATACTGGTCGGTGTGTATGATAAGTCTTGGAGATTGCATAAACAGAGAGACAGGAAGGTGGGCCACTAAACAAGCCAGGGCTGGAAGAGTGGAAACACATGCTGACTGCACCGTGAGTAATGGATGATGGAACTCCTGCCGCACCGAGACCGAAGCTGTCAGACCATTAGCTCAAACACTAACAGAGCAACACACAGTGAGGCCTAAGTGGTCACTGAGGATTCTGACTTATATCATGACCATCAGGATAAGGACCCCTGTGTTTTTTTTACCAGGACCCAGAGGTTTAATCTAACTCTACTTTTCACAGTGCCAAATAAACAGAAAAAAATGATGTTGAGACATGTTTTGATGTCATCTGCGGTCGCGCTGCTTCTGACCTTTCGTCTGCTCTCTGTGTCAGATTTTAAAAGTGGGCGGGACTTAAATCACTTACATCTTACACTACAACATCTTATTTCACTGTTTTCAAACTCTCTTTTCAATTTGTGGTCACACACCTGTTTCAGTTGCAAACAATGCAGTAACTGGGGACTTCTTTGTGCATTTACCAACAGCCTGGATGTGAGGCGTTTTTAGGAAAATCTGAAATTAAAGCATCGACTGCAGGTCTGCATGTGATACATTTAGGGGACATCTGTAAGTTGTAGCTACAAAAAATAATATGCATACACTTAGGTTTGAGCAATATTCAAAATTTAATCCCTGATACAGTCCAGCCCAAATATCACGATATACGATATTATCGTATTTTATAATAGAATTATATTGTTGTGTTTTATATTTTACATAGTTTTTTGTTCCAGTACAATACATAATTACATTATTGTACTTTATGTTTCAGGTATAAGTGATGCTGTCACTAAACAACAGTCAGTATATTTGTCACATGCCAAGGTACAATGTACAGTTAGCAAAGCAGTGAAATGAGGGTCGGACTCAGCAGCAGAGCAGACTGTGCACAACTGCAAAAATAAAAAAAAATAAAAATTCCTAACTGATGAAATATATTGCATATGGCAGGAAATGTAGTGAAATACAAATATTATCGAAAATTGGCCCAGGCCTAGTTACACTCTCCCCTTCTAAACTGCATCAGTCACACGCTGCCCCTCCCACCACCACAAGTAAATTCTCTTCCTGTGGGAAACACTGAGAACCCATTAACACAACAAACAAGTATGTCGACTTTGTTTTAATATTATTCAGGATATTTTAATATTTTTGTCACTTTCCAATTCTAATTGTAAATATTGGATGTATGTAATGTTATGTAAAAAATCTTAAGAATTAAAAGTTAATTGTTCTTTGGATCAGTGTACTTGTATTATTATGCTGTTATATTATCATTGTATCAGCGGCATGAAATGGTCTTGACAATAATAAAACAATAATATCATTTATTGCAGAGGTAATGAATGACAATTCAAAGAGGTACAGTTAGACAAAATTTCCTCATGCGACCTCAGCTATGACAGTTTAGCTCAATAAACATCCATCACAACTTCCCAGAGCCCAAGGTGACATTAAAGTGACATCAATAACTAACATGGCACAACAACTGCTCTGGGGCCCCAGACCCTTAGAGGCTTAAAGCCCTGGGTTCAGTGTGCATCACTTGGTTTTTAGTCATTGTAGAGCCCTGTGTCAAATAACCACCTTAGTTGATATCTTGTTGAAATGGAGCATATTCATTAATACATTTGTAGGGGACAGTTTATCAGGGGCCAAACAATAAATCCAACCATGAGTGATGTCTACAAATCAATTTAAAAGCCAAAGTAAAACAGAGAAGCAGCAATGGAAGAGCTGGAACCAGAAAATAAACAAATCATTTTACTCTTACGTCATCATTCAAAATTGTTGTCAATTTTCTGTCGACTGACTAATCAGTTAATTGTTTCAGCAGTTCAAACCAGATACCAAACACTAAGCTGACACATTGGAGGAGCGTGACTCTGTTGTGGGCAGATTACCAACTGAGCAAAGTGGGTCACTGCTCTTACAGTTCTCATACACCCAGGGCCATGTGTCAACGTGGGTAAATTAGTTTTTACTTATTTGTTTAATTGCAATTCAGGTGGTTTTTTTTTGTTTGTTTGTTTTTTTTTTTGCATCACTAAAGTAAATAAATCAATAGAAGTAAACATGTAAAACTGAGTAGAGATAATACTCTAGCCCAGGCTAATACAGCCACAGTGACTAGTCAGAAATTTTCTTGGGGTGGCCTATGGGGGGAAGTAGAATTTATGACCTCATTGTTAAAAATCCTGGCTGCAGCCCTGCTGCTGGTGCTGATGGTGCTGATGACCACATCCTCTCTCCTCTAACTGGCCTTAGAGATTATCACTCATCCTCACAGCCTGGTTACTTTTCCAGTCATGAGTCCTAATAAACCGAATGCTATACCACATAGTAACAACTACATAGGCTGAATATTAAAAAAGAAAAAAGAAAAAGAACGAAAGAAAACGCGGAAGTGATGGGGCGTGCTCTCTCTCTGGAGAAAAATATGGTTCTTTACCAAGGAGCGTCACCAGACTCTGATAAAAATCCACCAGACTGCGTGTTGAACTCAAGATGTACATTTTCAAAACAGCAACATCCTGACATGACTGTGAACGTCTGCCATTTTGTTTTGTGGCGTATATAAGTTTACCAAAAGAAAAATGTTGATATTGGATGGAGTTTGGCATCACTTGCTCTTAAGGCGGTAAGTCCCTTTAACACCCGGAGAGAACACGTTATATAAACACAGCACCTGTCCTGTGTGTCAGATAAATAAAGTGTTATAACATCACTTACCATTTATTTGTGCACTCCACCATCAGTTCTTGAAAGGAGGCAGCGAACTGGAACTTGGACGCTTTCTTTCCGACCCGCTGGAGCCGCTTCCACACCGAAGTCATGGTCGGACCTGTCGAATAACTCTCTCTCAAAGACGTGATAAACCGACATTAACCCGGAGGAAACGTGTGTCGCCGCGTCCGTGTCCCTCTGCTGGTACTTCACCGGAGAAACTCCACCTGCTCCGCTGACAGCTCCTCTCTAGCGGCGTGTGACCCGCTCCTCACCGGCGTCCAGTCCTCAGACAGGCTGCAAAACAAACACACGCCTCACGTCAAAGCTCAGCGTCAAACTAAACGCGATACACCGGAACACGTATGGTTACAACTTTCAAAATAAAAGCCTTGTTAAATGCAGTTAATCACAGAAGCAGAGGTGTGGACTAGGAGCAAAACGTCCGGGTTCACACCAGAGGCATTTGAGTTAAACAGTTTTACTATGATGTAAAATCCAAGGTTCTCTCCACATATAGAACTCTGGGAAATGAAGGCTAATTATTATAAACTGGCCTCAAAGTAGATAAATTTAACATTTTGAGTCTAACAATACTGGAGCTTATAAAACACTGTAAGTTATGAATTGAAGAATATTATAGGTATATATTAGGTCTTTATTTCCATGTCATGATAAATATCTGGCCCATACTATGCAAGATTACAAGATACTACTATTTATAAAACATGAAAAAAAATGTAACACGAATCATCTGAAAACACACAAATAAAAAGAGCAAAAAGAAAGGGGTATCACCGCTAATTTTACAATATGCAAAAATGTTTTATATATATATAATATTATTTCATCCTAAATGTAATCACTGTCTGTCAGCTACTACAGATTCTCTGAACTAAAAAAAAAATATTGGTCTGATCTTATTAGATAACGTTATTACTTCTAGGCATGTTCTGTTTAATAAAGGTTAAATCATAATCAGAAGATTGATAATTAAATCTAAATAAATTCATTGTTGTATTTCATCACTAAAAACATTAACGGAATTACTTTTTCACCTGAAACTTAGTACTTCCTGTTTCACCAGAGTTTATTGTGGGGAGCTTGACGTAACTCAAACGGTTACAGAGCCATTTGCTTTACACGTCCCAGCTACAATGATTGTGCAGGATAATCTAATAATAACAGGATGCTGTTGATATGTGAAACTTTAGCCAAAGTCACCCAAGCATAAATCTTCTGATAGCTAACGGTTGTTTAGCTAGAGGCCTCAGGCTGCTGTATGTCCCTATAGGTGAATATCACAGTGACTTCTCTTAAACAGACTTTATAGAATAGATATACAGACACAATGTTATAAGACACTTTCTCGCTGCCTGAGTCAGACTGCTGTAGGTGACTCGTCAGGCCTGTACACACACCTCACAGAAAGACAAACAGTGATTACTCATGAGTTCCCATGAAGATGATGTTGAGGGATATTATTAAGAACCAAATCCAAAACAGAAATTACCTGTGAGCCTGTCGGGTAAAGGCCCCCCTGTCACGAGCCCCCTTCAGCTGGAGGGACTTTTCCAGTTTAGCTCTGAGTCTATTTATAATCTCTCACTGACACATAGAGCAGCTGGGAATATAATGTTGCCTCCAAGAACACGGATAAACATCCTGTTCACACCATGAATGATAAAGTTATTTTGAAGATCTCATATCAACAATTTACATTTTCATTTCATACAGAATCATTATTGGTGTAAAAGAGTAAAAGTGTAAAATTGCAAATTTATATGATTGAATTATTCTTAACTGGAGGCTGTAACTAACACGCTCTCTAACTGGATCCTGTTTTCATCCACTGTAAGAAAAAAAGAAATATCTGTGTGACACCTCCACCAGGTAAATATCTCCACCATGTTCTCCAGCTGCTCTCTGACTGTCTGCTGTTTCAGTTAATGAACACCAGCTTCATCAGAGAGTCTTAAAGTGGTGAGACTAAACTCAACAAAGTAGGTAAGTAGGTTACTGTATTTGTACCCGCAGGTATATATGGATTGCAGTAAAGAGATTCATCAGTCTTACACATACATATTTAACACACAGCACAGACAACTCCACATGGGTCAATAAAGATAAATCAATTAATTACTTAATAGAGCATTGCTTCGTCCAGAAGCAAGAAGCTGAAATTCACTGAGTCGTGATTTAAAGTCGAGCCAGCTCTGTGCTGTAACTGTCTGGTGGACAGGGATGCTAGGTTAAGCTGTGACTCACCAGTCAGCTGACTGGACCATTTAACAATTTGATTCAGAGAATTCCTTCTCTTTAAACACAGATTTCCAAACCATGACACCAGAGAAAAAGATCAAATTGATTCAATAAAAGCAGGTAGAATAAGATCAACATGGTCTTGTAATTTGCCTCAAAGTCAGTTTCAGTTTTGTGTCACTGATTGTCAGTTATCATATCTTTAGTCTTCGATATGTTCAGTTGAAGGCAGGACTCCTCACACTACTTGGCAAAGTTGTCTATGACCCGGCCGTGGCTGGAGCCTGCTGACAATAACAGTTTACAGGTGCTGGCCGTAAAACCAAATCAGTGAGCTGAAAGAGGCTAAACCCCAGTCACGAAGTCAGGAGATGAGTCTCTCTGTGCATCACTGCTCTCACATTACAACTTCTGATTAGTGCAGTTTTAAACAGCTTTAATTACACTTCTACATAACTGAAGGAAACTTGATGCTTCCAGTATTTTATAACACAAGCAAACTGAGGTTTGTGTAGAATACAAGTTAAAAAGGTCATCAGCATTTTGTGAGCTTACAAAGTTTGCAGTGTTTGTATATTGTTCTGTCCTTTTGACACAGTCTTTATGAATACAGGTTATTGATAACTGCAGATCATTTTATAGTTTGATGATGCAGTAAATTTTTGGGCCTGGATCTTTAAAGTTCACCTCAGCTCTGACCACAGCTCTCTTATAACCTGTCCTGAGAACTGGGTCAGTCACTGAATGTGGTCTTATCTGGTTCCAAACACTCAATACATCGCAGGGAGGATTGTTTACATCAGTCGTGCACCTCAGAAATAAGACTTTTGTTTTGGAGCTGCATTAGGCAGCTGTCTGTCTTTTCTCACTGCACATGCTGATATGATCAGAGAACACAATGATCATTCTTTTCCACAGCGTAGCATACATGAATGTCAGGCTTCATCACACTCCTTGTCTGGAGTAGAAAACAATAAATGTAAGAATAATGATATTTTAAAAATAAAGTCAACATAGAAATATTGTTTCTGTGCTAATAGAGACGTGCTGCAAAGTGTTTCTTCATAGAATCTGACGGGACTGACTGAGAGGACGGAGACACATCTTCAGGTCTGTTAGTAAGTGCACGTAAAAATACTTGAATTCAAGTGAATTGTCAAATTAAAAGAAAACCTACAAGGACAACATTAAACCACTGGAGTTATAAGTTATAACTGAAATCAAAGCCTCGCAGTTGTATGTATGGCTAAAAAGTGTCTTGTGAGGTCACACTGACCTTTGACCTTTGACCACCAAACTCCAATCAGTTCATCTTTGAGTCCTAGTGAATGTTTGTGCCAAATTTGAAGAAGTTCCGTCGAGGTGTTCCTGAAATATCATGTCCATGAGAATGGGACAGATGAACAACCTGAAAACAATATTAAACAATATGAAAGGTTTAAATAAAAAAGCTGCTAATTGCAGGTCTCTGATGTCCTGCATTAAAGTTACACCACCCTACCACCTACCTACTTCTTTAATTGTCACTGAACGTTGGTAATCACGAGGTGCAGAATTGCTAAATATATATATATACATATATACAGTATATACATTTATTTATAAACACACGCACACACACACATATATATATATATATATATATATATTTATATATATAAAATTCCTGGGCTCAGAACAATAGAACATAATTTTGAAAAGATAAATAATATGACAAAAGGTAGCATATACAAATAAGATATGTTCAGGCCAAATATAGAGCCTTGTGGGACCCCACATGACGAAACACTCCCAGCTTCCAGGTCAGTCCTTCGTGTTTCCTTGAATGGCTTGAACCCTCCCTGTCAGCATCCTCCATCCCTTCAGCTCTGCTGGCACCCTGGGAAACAGCTGCATCTGGGTGGGTAAAAATAAGGCAAGAATGGCGGAAGAACAGACGGGAGTCTCCACATCTGGGAATAGCAGTTTTTTAAAGTTGGTGTTTTGCCAGAGCTCCGTCATGGTGATGTTATGTTTATCTTAGAAACTATTCTGGGAGTTGCATTTCCTGATGCCTGTGGTTCAGTGACAGCTCTGAAAAGCAGGGGGTTAGGTCAGAGGTGGGGGTTGGAGTGGAAGGGTGTCATGGTGGTAACTACAAGGTAAAGTCATTCTTAAACAATCCACTTCCTGCCTGCAGGCTGAGGCCACCCGTTGGTTGGTGTGCTTCCTGTTTTGGAGTCCAGGGCATTGCAACGTACAATGAGTCTACATTTGACCAGTATACAAGGCCAGTGTCAACATGTTTATGTTCTACTTCCTCATTACATTAATGAACATAAAGATACTGAGAAGCGGTACGAAACCTCAGCTGTGAGAAAACAATGTTTATAAATCTCAGTCTACTCCTGATTACTGGAGGAAGAGTCATGTGAAACCTGAGCTGCATTTTTACTGCAGCTGGTGACAGATGAGACAAAATAGTTTTGAATAAAAGTTAAAGTTATAGTCTGTAACTTTTCCACATGAAAACATCTAAAAACTATTAGACCTATATTCTATATGTTGTTGAGTTGTGTTCTTACATTTTCCCAAATGTTTCCATCAATTCTCAAACCAGAGAAATCAGTGATTTTAATCATGGTAACACTTTGTGTCATTGGTCGCCTGTCAATGACATCATATCCTCTGTGATCATGTGTCAGTGTGTTTGTCTGACAGAAGTTCAACATTTTTATCTAGTTTTAAGCCACATACACTTTTTACACCTTGGTGGTTTTCAGTCTATATTTGAACCAGATGAAGGATTTTAGTCGTCGGACGTCTGGATCTGAAGTTATCAGAGAAACAAGCTGAGGAAATGTTAGACAGCTCAGCTCCCAGCTGCTGGAGACGTCCTGTCCTGTGTCACTGAAGAACGTCGCTGAATCTCTGAGTTTTAAAGTCAAACTGCTTTATTCAGTGTTTCTACTGGTTTTAATCCCCTGGTGTGTTTGTTATGGAGAGGAGGACACCTCTGTGGATCATTCAGCT